GGGGGCTTTGGGCTCTGAGGCCACTCTGGGTCTTGCAGTGAAGCAGGAGGGCCTGCGCTTCGTGGAACAAGAACTGGAGCACATCACCATCCCCGACCTGCACGGCAAAGAGGGCCACTTCCACTACAACATCAGCAAGTGAGTCGTCCAGCGGGGGACAGGCTGGCCGGGCAACCTCCCAGAGGTGCCCTGGGATCCTCAAAAGAGGTCATTGCTGCCCCCCCAGCGTCTAAAAAAGGACACTCGTGGGCATTCTGCCGCTGGCAGAGGACCACAGGACATTCCGCACACAACTGGGTTTCCATTTTTCCTCAATTCAGCCGCTGTCGGGCACAGGCCATCCGTGGGCTGGATGCTTCCCACTCCTGGAAGCAGGATGTCCATGAGTCGTGATCTCCCCCCCCCATAGTGAGCCTCCAGCCTGTCCCCCCCAAACAGGAAGTTTAGGGCTGGCCCTCTGACCAGCTGTGCTGCTGAAGGACTAGATGGGCACCACGGGGGGGTTGCTTTGCTGCTCTGGGTTGTGGCGTGGAGGGCCTGAGACATCTGGGGAGAGGCAGAGGGGGACCCTGGGCTCCCCCCTGCCAGACCCACGCCATGATGCACTTGGCTTAGAAGGGGGTCAGGGTGGGGTGAGGACTGACTGGAAGAGCTGGCCCCCCCCCCACTGGTCTTTGGGAGGGATCTGGCTCTTGTGGGAGAGGGGCAGTGACCCGTCCCATAGGAGGGCCAATCCGGAAGGTGCTGGTATGGAGCTGGGCAAAGACTGGAGCCCAAAGACTTGCCACAGGAGAAGGGGGATTCGGGGGGGGGGAGGAGAGCAAAGGGCAGCCCCAGTCGATCGTTGGTGGCCCATCGGGGTCGCTGGGAGCGGGCAGGCAGGCAGGCAGCTGCCGACCCTGATTTCCCCTCCCTTTCTTGATCCACAGCGTGAGGGTGACCCACCTGCATCTCGCATCCTCTGACCTGCGCTTCCAGCCCAAGCAGCATCTGGCCTTCAGCGTCCAGAACGGCTCCATCACTTTGCGCTTCCGGCGCCAGCTCCTGTATTGGTTTTTGTGAGTGGCATGCTGTGGTGTGGCCTGGCGTGGCCTCCCCTCCTTGCAAGGCCCTCCCTCCAGCTGCTGACCTTGCATCCTGGAGCCCGCACGGAAGGCGGCCAAGCCGAGGTCCCTGAACGGTGGCAGAACCCATAACTTGCGCCCTCCCTTGCAGGTCGGACTTGCCGCTGGCGTCTCCCCTGCGCAGCTCCATCCCCTTTTCCAACTGCCTGGATCTGGGGGAGGGGGCTCTCCCTCCTCCTGGCTTCCTCTAACCCGGTGCTCTCTCTTCCCACCCCACCCCCCCAGCTATGACATTGGCTCCATCAACACCTCCGCCGAGGGCGTCCACATTCACACAGCGCTGGAGCTCTCGAGGGATAGCACTGGGCGCCTCAAGATCTCCAACAGCAGCTGCAACGCCTCCATCACCCGCATGCATGCGGGATTCAGCGGGACCCTCAGGTACCCCCTCCCGGGGCCCTGCTGCCCCCGTTCTCTCTGCGCTTCTTGGATGGGGGCTCTTGCTTAGGACCCCCCCCCAGCCCCCAGGAACTCCTGCCTCTGTCTTGTTCCTTTGGCCGAGATGCCTCCTCACAACTCACGAGGACCAAGTCCTGACCTGCTGACCTCTCCGGGATCAGAGCTTGGAAAGTTTCCCCATAAGACAACGACTCCCAGAATCCTCCAGCCAGTAATCCCTAAGGAGGCATTTCCCCAAATTCTGTAGAGGGAATGGATTGAGCGGGGGGGGGGCAGAGGCAGGGGGCACACAGGATGTGATGCAGGGTGACTTGCTAGCTGGCTCCCGCTTGGAGGCAATGAGAGGGAAAGCAGGGCCTGTTTCAGACAAGCACAGACTTTCTTCCTTTGTAAGGAGAAAGGCAGGATTAAAATATTTTAAATAAAAATAAATAAATAGATTCATACCTTTTCCTTGGAGGTCGGGGGGAGGGGCACAAGGGTTGAGCACACCATTTTATGCTCTTTCTGTTTCTCATCCCACCCCAGAAAGGTGTATGAATTCCTGGCCACTTTTATCACCACCGGGATGCGCTTCCTCCTCAATCAACAGGTGAGGCCCAAAGGAGCCCACAGTGTGTGTGTGTGTGTGGGGGAAAGAGACCCATCTCTCTCCCCCCCCCACCCCAAGAGTTCCTGCATCTCAGGAACCGAAGAAACGGGACCTCCCTGTCAAGATCACCCTCCAGAGCTGCCAGGTGGAAAGGCAACATCTCTGCCCCCCCCACATCTCCATGTACAACCTGTTGTGAAATTTGGGGTGGCGTTGGGGGGGGGACCCAGGCCCTGCATCTCTCCCCCAGCTGTTCTTGGTCTGTCTGATGGAGGCCAAGCACCAGAAGAATTGTCTCAGGACCCTCCTTCCCTCGCATGGCTGCGCACTCCCCCCCCCAAGCATATGGTTGTTCCTGGCAGCCCCTGGGGGCCAGGGAGGTGGTGGGGCTGTGGCCATCGAAGGTCTCTGGGAAGGAGCTGAGCTGGCGGCTTTTGCCAGCCCTCTCTTGCCTGGCATTTGGAGGAAGGACTCTTGGATCCTCTGTGGCCCCCGTCCCCCAGCCACTCTGACTTGGTGGACCAAGCATGGAATGGTTGGGGGGGGCATAAGGGTCCTTTTGTGCCCCCCCCTTTCACCACCTCTCTTGGCTTCCAGATCTGCCCTGTACTGAACCACGCTGGGCTGGTGCTGCTCAACTCCGTGTTGGACACGGTGCCAGGTGGGTGGCCGGGAGCAGAGCGGGACGACTCCTCGGTGCCACGTTAAGGGAGGCAGGCAAGGGGGGGCCCTTGGGGGAACAGAGGCCAAGCCCAAGGCATCAACGGCTCTTTCTCCCTCCTCTCTCCTCACCCATCATGGCTTCGGATGTTGCAGTACACAACCCAGTTGATGATCACATCGGGATAGACTATTCCCTGCTGAAGGATCCCCTGGTCACTTCCGACACCCTGGACCTGGACTTCAAGGTACTTGCCAGGGTGGGGGGTGGGGTGGCTGGTGAGCAAGGACGTTGCGGCAATGGGAGCCTGAAAGAGGAAGCAGACAGGACTTGGGAGACCCGGGTTCCAATCTCTGCCTGGCCATGGGAACCTACTTGCAAGGGGGCTGTGATAAAAGCACTCCTGAAGCATCTCTCACTTCCGACACCCTGGACCTGGACTTCAAGGTACTTGCCAGGGTGGGGGGTGGGGTGGCTGGTGAGCAAGGACGTTGCGGCAATGGGAGCCTGAAAGAGGAAGCAGACAGGACTTGGGAGACCCGGGTTCCAATCTCTGCCTGGCCATGGGAACCTACTTGCAAGGGGGCTGTGATAAAAGCACTCCTGAAGCATCTCACTGTGGCGTAGCAGACAGGACTTGGGAGACCCGGGTTCAAATATCTGCTTGGCCATGGGAATCTATTCCTTAAGCATCTCATGCACCTTGGAAACCCTGCCAGGGTCACCGTGAGTCGGAACCGACGGGAGGGCATGCAGCCATAGCAGCAGCAGCAGGAGGAGGCCAAGGGGCACCAGCAAAACCACTGCCTGCTTTCCTTGCAAGAGCTTTAAAACTCAATACCATTCACTCAAGGAGACATGTGTACTTTTGAAACTTATTTACTTGATCAGGGAGGGTAACATCTGATTAATATACAGTAGGCAAATCACAGGTTGCTTATCACTTGAAACTGAATCAGTATTACTTTAACTTTAAAGCTCTATCCACTCTCTGTACCATTCAGCGTTCTCACAGATCTCTCAATCACCCTTAGTTCACTCTTAAGATCCACACAGTCTCTCACTTCCAGATTCACTCTCACCCACTGAATCTCTCTCATCCTCCATACACCAGCCTTTATATCCAGCCCCCTCCCCCCTTGGCACCGCCTTCCATCCACTCATTGGCTCCTTATCCACTGCTCACCTGTGACGGACAGGTGAGGGCAGGGCTGTTCGCTACACTCACGCACCTTGGAAACCCTGCCAGGGTAACCGCAGGGAGGGCATGCAGCCATAGCAGCAGCAGCAGGAGGAGGCCAAGGGGCACCAGCAAAACCACTGCCTGCTTTCCTTGCAAGAGCTTTAAAACACGAGCTGGGTCTCGTTTTGCTGCCCGGGGCAGCCTCCTCTGAGACAACCCGAGGTAGCTCCCTGTCCGCCCCCATCCCTGGCGGCATGTTCTGCTCGCAGTTCAGGGGATCAGCCAGGATCCCCACCGACATGATCCCTGCTACTTGGCCCTGTGCATCATGCATGCTCAGGTGGGAGCAGGAAGGAAGGGTCATCGTTTTGATTCCCATTGAGGGAAAGCCCGGCACCTGCTCCCTGGTGGAGGTGCAGAATCGGGGAGCAAGGTAAGGAGAAGCCAGACCCCCCTCGGCTCATGGCCTGCAAGCGGTCCTTCTCAGCAGTGTGCATTGGGGCCACGGTGGGGCGAGGGGGGGGCCTTGGAGGAGGGACTCTGCAACTGTGTTTGACTGGGGGCTATTCCTCCCCTCCCGCAGGGCATGTTCTTCCCATTGCGAGGCAAGAACGTGACGCTACCCAACGAAGCGCCGGAGCCCCTCATCAAGGAGACGGAGCGCATGGTGTACATGGCGGTCTCCGAGTACTTTTTTGATTCCGCCCTATTTGCCTACTACCGAGCAGGCGTGCTGAGCATGGAGATTGCTGGTGCCCAGGTGGGTCGGGGCATCGGCTTCGCGTTACGGCTGGGGCTACTGGCCTAGACCAGGGCCGTGCCCCCCCGGTGCCCCCTGGTTCTGATCCGAGGCTCCTGTTCCAGGTGCCCAAAGATCTGGAGGTTTTGCTTAGAGCGTCGTTCTTTGGGAGCATTGTCATGATGGTGAGTAAGGTGGCGTGGACAAGCCTTGGCTTGGGCTGGTCTCTCGCCTCAACATGGTAGGCCTGGAGGGGGCTCTGGGAGGGAAGAAGTCGGGTGCTATGAGTAAGCCTCCCCCACCTGTGTGGGATCCGACGCCCTGGGCCAAAGCCCTCCTCCCCCAGTTCTGTCCCAGTAAGGCCTGCATGCTGCCATGCGCGTCCTAAACCGAGGCTGGGCAACGGGTGGCTCTCCCGGGGCTTTCTGGCTGCTGCCCCCGGCGGGTCTCGCAGCAGGCCACCCTAACGAACCTGGCCAGGGCAGTCTCCCCCCACCCCGAGTCATGCAATCTAAGGGGGCAAGAAGCCACCTGTCAGGAACCAAGGCCTTTAACACCCCCTCTTTCAAAAGTCAAAAGAGGAGTCCTGCCGGGGGGGGATTCAGCTTCTTAACGGTTAGGGAAACACAAGAGGGCTTGGCCAGTGGCTTTCTTATCCCACGGGGCTGGCGAGCGCTCCCTCTCCCCTCCCCACCCCCACCTTCTCACCCCTTTTGCACCCAGAGCCCCTCGGCGATGGATGCGCCCCTGATGCTCAAGCTCCAGGTGTCGGCCCCTCCGCGCTGCAGCATCAAAAGCTCCGGCACATCCGTCTTGGTCACGGCCCTCCTGGACATCTTCTTGGCCCCCCCGGGGCAACCCCCCGTCCCCCTCTCCAGCATGACG